ACACACACACACACACACACACACACACACACACACACACACACACACACACACACACACTTCCAGTAGACCCAAATTGGAATTTTTCATTTTGAGATTCCTGCCTTTGTATCCCCCCCACCCCACCCCCCCGCCATCCGTGCTCCACCATCCTCCCTCCTGAGTTTTATCACTCATCATTACCCAGGGGACTGGCCTGAAAAGGCTGATAGAGCCTTTTGGCTAATTGACACCATTTAGATTCACTGGTTGTTAACCAGTCAGAGTAATCTCTCTCTCTCTCTCACACACACACACACACACACACACACACACACACACACACACACACACACACACACACACACACACACACACACACACGTGCACACACACACACACACACACACACACACACACACACACACACACACGCTGATGGCTGGAAGCTGTGAGGGTGTGTTGGTGGTTCTGCTGTGTGACTGTGGAATGCGTAGGATGAGTTTTTATGGAGTGCTGTTTACTTTGGCCACCACCGTTAAACTTTTAACGGCTGCCAATTAACAGGCCAGCAAGGACACTCTGTGGGGCATGAAACCCTCTTCTGGAAAACAGACACTCACTCAGTCCAAGCTGGCGTGCACCTCCTCATGGATGTGCATGTGTGCTCACCCGATCAGCACAATCATCCAGGCCCTCCTCCATCCCACAATGCAGCTCAGCGTCCTTGAAGACAGAGAACAGAGTGACACGACATTTACCTCCCGGTGACCTCCTGGGAGGACTCGTGTGTGTTACAAGGCAAGGGGCGGAGCCAGTGCTTCAGACTATTTGTCTCAGACTTTTTTTGGTGTGTGTGTGTGTGTGTGTGTGTGTGTGTGTGTGTGTGTGTGTGTGTGGGTGTGTGTGTGTGTGTGTGTGTGTGTGTGTGTGTGTTGTAGGAGGGTAAATTCCAGCCTGTGAAATGCTGCAAACACTTGGCAGTAATCGGCGGCTGTGGTTTTTGTCACCACTCTGTCCATTGTAAATAATGTCAAGTCATCTGGCATGTTTGTGCAAAAGTGCATTGATGGTGAAAGTAGCAACTGGCTGCAGCGTTTCCACGTTTCTCAAAATGACCCCATTTCTTGAAAGACTGTAGAGATAAAGTGTTTGTTTAGAGTGCTGCTGAATGTCAATGCTGGGAAGAAACATCAATTCACTCTCGCTCACCCCCCACCAACAGGGTACCCTGGCTATTCAGGAAGTCTTGCTTCTCCTTTTATCCCCATGAGTCCTCTGGATCACCATAGCAACAGTCTCTATGGACAGCACCGCTTCTATGAAGCTCAGAAAGGTAGGTGTATTCGTGTGGATATTACAGATTTTACACACGGCAAACAGCTTATTCAGCATTTCGAATACAAACAGCTGGTGAATCAGGGTTTTTTTGGGGGGGAAAAGATGCTTTTCCCTTCACTGAAAATTGATCAAGGCTAACTTTTACACCTCTCCTTTACCTCCAGATCACTTCTACCTAAGAGGCCTTCCTCCTCAGTCCCCTCTGCTCTCCACCAATCACAGCCTCCCTCCACTCTCCAGGACCGCCCCAGGCCACCCACTTGGCCCTTGCAGCAGAGAGACGGACAGCGGGGGAGGAGGTGGCAAGAGCACCAAGGATTTGGGCGATAAAGGGGTTGCAGCAAAAGAGAAGGAGCGATCCAGCAGCAGGGAGCGGCACCAGGATGGCAAAGACAAACAGCTGTATCATCACCACCCCCATCAGAACAACGCTGCCACTACTCCGTCTGGCCTCCAGCACCAGGCTTACCACCACCCTCACCATGCCCTTCTTCCTCATCTCACACTCCAGGGTCGGGAGGAGGACCACAGACACCCTCTGGACAGACACAAAGATTACAAAGACAGCGACTCTGGTAGTCAGGGAGCAAAACATATGAGTGCCTGTAGACTGTCCAGTGGAACAGGGTCAGAGGCTGCCTGCGGAGGAAAGGGGGGGACATTAAGTAGTTGTAGCGGTGGTGGGGGGGGCAGACTCGCCTCTGGAAGCAGCAGGCAAGCCTCAAAAGATGGACACATAAATGGGGAAATGAGAATCAGCGAATCCTCAAATTCCCCTTCTGAATGTATGCGACGAGGTGCCGTGGCAGTGACTGCATTCTTGGCACCCCCAACATCTCACTCTGTTGCTTCTTACGCCATGCCTCCACCTCCCGCTCCACCACCCCCTCACGCCTTACACATAGGTTCAGCAGTGACTGGAGGCTGGCTACACCCTTCAAATCACCACCCACATTCTGAGTTTTACTGTCCCCCTCCTCCTCCACTAACACTTACACCCTCCAAAGATCCCACGTCCAGCCCTGGAGGGCCCAGCAGGGAGGCGAAGGTTACTGGCCCAAACTATGTGCCCTCGGTTGGGCCACAAGGCGACTTGACCACCCCTGATTGTCGTGGAGCAGGAGGGGGTGGCAGAAAAGCAGAGGATAAGAGTATGGAGAAATCTTATGAAAATCCCCCTTATCACCACAGCCGCCTTAGTAGCTGCCAGAGGAAAGACAGGTCTCAACCACACCAACAGCAGATGGGATATGGCAAAGCTGACAAACCCCCAGACTGGAGCCAACAGGTGCATCACTACCAAAAGCCTGGCTCCAGCGTGGGCTCCCAACCCGAACTCCAGTCCTGTAGCCTAGACACATCTTCATCATTCAGAGATGTTGAAGGTTTGGGTGAGATTTATCGCCCCTCACTTCCACCAGACAGCCATGAAGGCCACTCTAGACAGGGCATGCCCAACATTGCTCCGGATACCAACGCTTCTTCGTTTAGGGACTGTTCTCTATCTGGTTCAGATGAAAAGATGGGACTGGGGTCAACAACTCTGAGGGAAGGACAAAAGGTTGCAAGAATACGACACCAACAGCACAGCAGTCAGACGACATGTGGAGATGACAGGGGAAGAGATGGAAATCAGACAGCATCTTCATGGGGGTTTCGAGGAGGCCAGCAAGAAGACCAGCGAAAGGGCAGCCACCATGCTTCAGTTAGCAAAGGCGCCCATTCTCAGCCGCCTCCTCCGCTTTCCCACCCCCCATCACACAGCACTGATAGTGAGGGCAGTGCCATGAAGAACCTCATGAACTACAGCTCCCAGCAACCCTTGCTGTTGCCACAGCGAAGCCCCTTTGGAGGTCTTGGCTGCCTCAACAAGGGTGGGGATAGATTAGAAAGGGTGGACAGAGGAGGAGGAGGAGCCAAAGGCAACACCTGCCATCAAGAAACCCCCAAACAGCCTCTTCCCTCTCGCCGGGGCTCAACTAACGAGGGAGAAAAAACTGACAGAGGTGCAAAGGAGACAGGGGAGGCGGTAGAGGGGGAGGTTCGACAGCCTCCGGTGGGTATTGCTGTCGCAGTGGCCAGGCCCCCTCATCGTTCTCCAGACAGCGCTCCTGGAAACAGAAGACAGGGCAGAGTGCTGCCCAGCATGAAAGGTCAGACATCACACAGACCGCTTCAGATGTATGTGTCTGTCGTTTTGACAATAATAGGAAGTTGTTGTTGGGGTGTAAAGACAGGCCGGTAGAGCTTTGGGCACCGTTCACAACTGCTGTAAAACAGAATTCATGTGCAGCTTCTGTAACACGTACAGTTAGAGAGAAGAGTCACCGGAAGGAGAAGTAGGGTTTTGTACCGGACACAAAACCTGGAATTTGTCATTCCATGTGGTGGCAAGTTCAGGATCAGGCTAAGCATGTTTGTCCTGCTGTAATTTAGGGGTGTCTCGCCCTCTTTATCCTCTCGGTCGAGAGTTAGAGGAGAGGAAGAGGATGACAGACGACCACATCAGCCTTCATCACACTGAGAGAGACAGAGAAATGGTCATCAGGTAAAGTCACAACCAACCCGCATGCACACTCACAACCATGCATCCTCTTCTCCCCATCTGATGAGCTGCACTTCTTTTATTCTCCTTCCTCCTCCCAGTCTGAAGCTCTGCTGTCTCTTTTCTCTCAGGCTCTCTCTCCATTTACTCCTCTCACCCTTTGATGTGGTACCTCCGCACCTCCTGTCTCTCCCTCTCTCTCCCCCTCTCTCTCTCTCTCTCACTTCCCATCTCTGTCTTCCTCTCAAAGAGAGATGCGGTGCATTCATGTTACAAGGACTTATACGGATGTCTGTGAAGTATCGGGCTCTTATTATGTAGTCATATTAAGGGAAGAAAACATATAATGAGAAGTCATAGACCAGGCACAAGATGATGGCTGTTCCTGTTGCCGTCATATTTCCTTTTCTTGATGATTATAATGGTCGTGGAGGTAATGAAGATGACATGGATGAAGATAATGATCATAATAATGTGGTGGTGATGATGATGACAATAAGAGGGATAATCAAAGTAATGACAAAGTTCACCTCTCCTGATGCTACAGCAGGGAAAACAAGGACTGTGTGGAGTTCGCCCGGATCCATCCTTCTAGTAGCTGCCACAGTGAACTGACCTCTCACCTCCTGGTCCCTGGTGGAGCCAGCCAGCTGGGGGCGGACTCTGTTGCACATGCTCACCCAGCTCACCACCACTGGATGCAGCGAACAGGAAGCCCCTCCCTCTGGATGGGCCATTCTTATGGTTAGAAGATTATTTTTTAAATTGGGAACATGTAAAGCAGTCTTGAGTTTTAGATGCTGAATCACTTGTTCATAAAGAATCTCCAGTTTGAGCGCATGTTGAATATTCTCACCATTGTTCCAGGTTTGATGAGTCCAGGCTTCCCACCTGGTCTCACCAGCCCTTTGCCACCAGTTTTGGGATCACTTGCCCAGGACCCTAACTCCCAACTTGTGGTTCTTCCTGCAGAACCTGGTCCTCATCATCACATTGGTAAGAGCTATGTTCCTTTAGCAACAGCAGCCCATCCTCCCACCTCCTCTCCATTTGTACCACAAAAGCTGCAGCCTTGTCTTTCTCAGAGCTTCAGTAGGATTGGATAGTCTTGATCAGTGGATTGGTGTTTGACGGCTTTGTTAATGGGAGCAGCCATCCCACTGCCCTCTCTGTAGGTGCCCAGTGCTGTACAGACTGGACAGAACTGGTATTTCATCTCACATCTCCCTCATTTGTTATTTTCATGTGTAAAAACGTACACGTGGCAGGGTTTATTATGTATATCTAAACCATTGCTAGAGAGAGAACAGTGTGTGTGTGTGTGTGTGTGTGTGTGTGTGTGTGTGTGTGTGTGTGTGTGTCAGAGCTGCTTTGCAAACAGGCTGTGAAATTTAATTATCTCCCGCCTCCCTTGACTCGCTCCGTGAGAGTTCCTGCAGAGAGGGGAAGTGCATCCACTGAACCCTTCCCCTGGGAAACATTAGCCCACTCAGGCTAATCTCACAGAACAAAGGTTCCCAGCGACAAGGCAGTCAAGGAGGGGATGTGTGTGTGTGTGTGTGTGTGTGTGTGTGTGTGTGTGTGTGTGTGTGTGTGTGTGTGTGTGTGTGTGTGTGTGTAAGAAGACATGCTAAAGCTGACATAAACACTTTCTTGCATAAAAATACACTGTCTAATGTAAAGTAAGTGAGTTATACCAGTTCCTGTAAAGGTTCCGTAGTTTACAGAAACCGTGTTTCTCTACAAAAATCTATCGTGACATTTTGCTGCTTGTTATTTGATCGGTTTGAGTATTTTAACGGTTTCCCTTTCCTGTTGAAGGTCTCAACAAAGTCCCATTTATTATTATTATTTTTATAACTTTTCAGACGTTTTGGAGCAGTCAGCTTTGTGGCCTCCTGTGTACGGAGCAAGGGGCCCTCCTCCTCACCTGCAGCACCACACGGTCTACTCGCACACCCCCTTCTTGCAGCAACAGGAGCTGTACGCCCTGCAGCAGCAGCACCAGCAGCACCACCAGCAGCAGCAGCAGCAGCGAGCTGTGGAGCACATGCAGAGGATCCCCTTAGGAAATGTAAGATTTTTAATAACTGCCGCGGGCCTTTTGGAGATGGTTCTAATGGTTTTTGTTCAAATGTTTTAAACATTTTGGGATGAATTAGTGAGAAAATGAATATAAGATATGTGGAAGGCGCTGAATCCAGCCCTATGAGTTTAGATATTGAGACATCGGTAACACTTTACAATGTTTTGTTATAAAGCATATGTAAGTGTTTAGTATGTCATTAATAGAGCATTTGTAAAGTATTAGGTAATGATGTACAGAACATTTACAAACAATTGTAATGATGTTTATAAATGATTGGGTAATGGTCAATGACACATTTACAAATGATCAACAACATATTAGCAAATGCTTTATAGATTATGTATAACCCTCTGCGGTCACAACTCTGGTTGCAAAGGATTAGGAGGAAGCATCCAATTATACATGCTTAACTAAATGATTATAAATGATTTACTAAACATTTAAATGATCATGGACTCATTTGTAAATCAATTTTGAACATTTTCCTCATTTCAGTATTAGTGAAATTCAAAGTTTATAAACCCTTTTCAGGTTATTAGTTTTCTTAAATACAAGCGTCTTAAATGATCCTCCTCCTCGGGGTGACTGGGCTCTCCCCACGGGCATCTCGCCTTCCTGCTGAAGTGGTCTGGGCACGTCACACCAGGAGGACGTAAGACTTAGCAGGAAACATCTCAAAGATGAACGGGTCATTCCATCATGTCTGAAGATGTCGATCTTATAATCAGTCATAAGAACTGGTCAGCTTCTGCACTTTACTGTAAACCTTTTGATTCTCACAGTTCCAAATCACATGTTTACGAAGTCTGGCTACACCTCATCACTGAGATGATCATTTATAGCCTTCAGAAACATTAATAAATGACATGTAAACATCTACAAACACTCTATTCATATTTTCTGCTTCCCCTAATGTAAAATGAGAACACTTCATGGCTTGAAAATGTTTTAATGATCAATTGTAGTTCAACAAGTAGATTTACAAAGTGTTTTTAGGTGTAGCATATTACAAACACACTTTTGTGACCCAACTCTAGTGTAAAATGATACTTAAATGGTCCCAGAAAACAGAACACAAACAGCAATACATCCTAACAATATTCTACAGTAAACTAATCTCTTGGATAACATCTACACATTCCTACCAAAGGAATAAACAGAAGATTTGAAACAAAAAGAACCTTTATTTTAATCAAAATAAAGGTTCTTAATTGTGAATGTCAACTCAGCACTTTTTGCTAAAACATATTTAGAGATGTGGAGTTCATCTCTAAATCTCACCCTGTTACAGAGACGTCTTAACAGTAAATGAGGAAACTTGCTAAATCACACATGAAAATATCAGTTGAGGACTTCCTGTTTTAGTGAGAGATGGTGAACAGATTAGGAGGTATTAGCACAACAGTTTGCCATTAAGCTGCAAAGCTCACTGTTGGCTTTAACTTTTTGTCTTTTTTTTTCTCCATAGAGGAAACACGAAGATCACACCATCACAATAGAAGACTCTCCAAGGGAGTCTCCAACATCGAGGACTCCCTCTTCCTCCTCTTCCTCTTCTTCTTCTTCCTCCCATGCAGCCAAACCCTTCTCCCACCCCCCTCCACCGCACAAAACTTCCACCCCATCTCCCGGTGTGTGTCCCAGCAGTCGCCAGTCCCCCTGCTACCACTCCCCCTCCACACGTCCCCATCCACCCAATCCTCTGACGCCCGCTCCAAGCCCTGCTGCAGCAGCTCCACGCTCTCCGGCCCTCAGCCCTGCGCCATCATACCTCTCCAAAGGCGGACTGGAACGGGGCAGCGACAGAGGAGAGGGGCAGCCGCCTCAGGACTACCCACAATCCTTAGAGCCAGGTGTGTTTGTGTGTGTAAACAATGTAAACGAGCACATTGTATGAACTGAAAGAGCCATGCTGATAGCAGAAAATAAAAGACAGCAGGCACGGTGCTGATAAAGAGATAAAACAGGGGAGAGATGGAGGCCACTGCTGCTGAAACATGGCCCAGCTCTTTGAAACGTGGTATTCTTTTGATTTTGCAGAACTTGTTTGAAGCAGAGCTGATCCTTCACTCTGTGTGCCCTTGAGTGTAGTTGTGCACTTCTTTTTCCAGTGCAAGCTAAAGACGGGCAGTAGGCAGGCTAGCCATTAAGGTCACAGAAAGCATATGGGCACTCTTTACGTGCATGTGTGTGACCTGTCAGTGCACATATGTGTGTCACAAGAGGAAGGTCAGTGATATCTTTTAGATACAGGCTCCTTATCCTTCAGGGGTCCTTGGAAAGTACAGGCGGAAGGATACGCATTCATCTGGCTGTGTTGTCAGAGGGCGGAGGGATATCATCAATAATAAGAGAGCAGGGGTGACAAGACTGCTGCCACAATCATAGGGAAGCAGCACGGTGTCATCAATATCCTGCATAGATCTATACACACACACACACATGCACACATGCACGCACACACAGACTACACGCGCACGCACGCACACACACACACACACACACACACACGCACGCACACACACACACACACACACACACACACACAGAAAGCCTGCATACATATACACACGTGTGCACTTGAACACACTTTTCTTCACTTTCATAGTACTGTATCGTGTCAGCTGTATGCTTCAGCCTGTCTGCCTGAACAGAATGAATTCAAAACACACACACACAGAATTTTTTTTTTCAAATCTGTTTACCACGCTCTGTCACCATATGTTTGCTACGTGTCAGAGTTTGACTTCTGCTCTCCCCTCTTTCCACCAGACTTGCCACCTGTTTATACCTTCTCTCCCATCGCCCTGGGTTACAAGGCCGGGCCTTCGCCTGCCGAAGCCCGGCTGGCTGAACATCCTTCGGCAGAAGATGAGCCAGCAGGGCCCGGATCCAAGTCTCTCTCCCACCAATGCCACGTCCAGCCTCTCACTGTGGAGGAGGAGATGAGGCAAGAAGAGAAAGGGATAGGCTGCGAAGTGGTGGAGTCCCGGGAGGAAACAAAAGAATGCTCCATCTCTGAGCCCGACAGCCAGATTTCTGGATTATTGCCATGCCCTTTCCAGTCTCCAGTTCCAGATCCGGTTACAAAAGTGAATCTTTCTCTTGGTTGCTCGGGCCAGAAGGTGGGCCTTGAGGAGTACCAGCTATCCACAGAGGAGGAGGATGATGGGCAGCATAGGAATGTGGATATGGAGGAGGATGGGTGTGTGGAGCATGAACCAGCTGAATGTACCGTCTCTGTGCCTGTGGAGCATAAAAATAAGGAGGAGGAGGAGTGTGAAGATGGAGAGAATGTAGAGGTGATTGAGGATAAGGAGGTGGACGAGGATGGGAGTGGGAAAGGTCCTGAAGTAGATTTGTGTACTTCTCCCGCTCTGTCCCCATCTTCATCCCCAACCCTTCCTCCGAAGGCGAGCACAGCGGCCCAGCTGGAAGGGGCTTACATGTGGAGTTTGGAGCTGTTGATTGCGGCGGCTTTGTGTGCCACCAGGGATGCCTTGTATCCTCCGGTACCTGTTGATCAGGCACCGTGTCCTTCATCTCACCATGGTATGGAAATACTGGGCGAACTCGCAGAGCTGGAGATCCAGCAAAGGAGCCGCGAGAACAGAGAACAAGACACTGAAGGTAAGAAAAGCCTCTAAATATAATACATTTCCCACTTGTCCCTCTACTTGTTGAAAGCAAATTTACAACTGTCATGAACAATCCTGCTGCAGCCTGATGAAGCTGCCGCTAACAATGAGCTAATGCTAACACAAGCTAATGGATACTGAAGAAGCCATGAAGTAAAAAGATCCACACAGTTGGACAAAAATATTATTAGTTTCAAGTCCTGTAGCAACAAAGCCAGGTCATCATCAGTCCGTGATGCCATAGCCTCCTTCAGCTCACTCAAACTAGTGTAGGATATGCTGATGTTCACTCAGGTTTAGCTCTTTGCTTCACCTTCAAAGACATTACTCTCTTACTTTAATTACAGGCTCCAACATGATGCCAACAAAACCCAACATTCTTCTACTTCTTCTTGTGCTTTTTACTGACAGTTGATGAACTGAAAAGACTAATTGCTAGCCTTTAGCTACCAGCACAGTCACTAGCTATGGCTGTAAATCAGGTAGAGACCTCCCACTAGTGTTCCTATCTGGACCATAAAACTGCTAAAGGCAGTCTCTGGTTAGCAGAGGGCTACAGAGTTTTGTCCAATGTGGAGTTGCTCAACTTTTCAGCTCACGAACCACTGAAATTAGTGATGCACTGATATGAAAATTTTTGGCCGATACCGATATCCGATATTGAGATCACTGTTTTGGCCGATAACCAATATTTGTCAATACCGATATACTGACATTGATGCTTCTAAAATCAGCAGATTTTGTATCAAATGGAAATGATTAAAGCTGAATTTATGTTATTATGTACACACACCACACACATTCACGGTTCTGAGATGATTTCATTCACTCTTCACATGACTAAACAATTAAACATCACCCTCTGAACCAGGCAAACAAATTGTGAAAAGGTGGAAAAAAAATATCGGTTGTTAATATCGGCCCAGTTTTATTTGTCAAACCGATACCGATATGTTTAAAAATGACTAACAACGGCCGATACCGATATTGATGCCGATATATTGTCCATCCCTAACTGAAACCAGTTTGAAAGCAATAGCTGAAAGTCTTTTTTTAAATGGTCCAGTTTGTGAATCATTCTCAACAGCAACCACACAAAATTCAAGCTCCATATCTTTAAAAGTGAATCACTTGTTTGGCAAAGTTCATTAGTTGACGGCCACCTTGAATGGAGTTGATGCCAAAAATGGGTCAGCTGTAGTTGTTTATCCTATAACGAGTGGAAGACAGATCTACCCGAGTGTAAACCCCGCTTTAAATCTGACTAATCTCACAAACTTAGATTTTAGAGAAACTATTTTCTTCTAGCTCAAAATTTAGTCAGATGAATGAATGTGAATATCTTTTTTCTCTTCTTGTCTAATTCACAACCAGGGCTGTTTGTACTCCGATAATCTCCTAATTTGTTGACATTTTATCTCCGCAGCTCTACCTCAAGATTTTAGCAAATACTTAAAGGTGTGGTCGACTGTTGACTGGTTGACCATTTTCTTTCTGATTGTAATCGGTCACTCTGAGTTTTTCATGCAGGCTGAACATGAAAATAGTCTCCTACACCTATCTCCTGCATTAGCTTCTGATAGAAAATAGACGGTGACATAATTTGAAAAGCCTGACCGCGACATCACACTGTCACTTGATATTCATGGATTCATCTTGACTCGCGACGAGGAAGGCTGTTGATGGTTTTGTGTTAGGGAAACAGCAGAGAATGTCTCGACTACTAGAAGCTAACCATTAGCATTAGCAACTACACCACAAGGCAGATCTTCTCCATTTTATTTATGAATGGATATTTATATATTTTAGAACTTTTTTCATGAGGTGTTCTTCAATCTGTTGCTAAATATCTTTTTTTTGACAATATGGCAGTGCTGTTGACAAATTTAAAGGAAGTATAAATCAGGCTTGAGAGACCATTCCACGTGTATTGATTAAACGAGTGTTCCACACCTTTAAAGACTGGGTGGTTTTATCTGGTTTCTAACGATTATTAGAGTTTTTAAAGTCAGAAAGTGAGATATGTTGCTGAACAACACAGAGACAGGCAAAAACATCCTACCATCCTTAAGCTGTTGGACAATGAAAACTAAAAATAGCATTTTCTTTTCTTTTCTCTTCTTTTCATTTCTGTGGCTTCACCTGACTTTCACCTCCAGTGGTGTTGCCTCTTTTAAAAAAAGATCAGTTTAACCAGATGTTTGAAAAATGAAACTAGATTTGCTATTTTATTACAGACAAGCTGTTTATTTAGTGTTTCCTTACAGTAAACACTGAAAATATCCAGAAGATTATATATCAAACACACGTTTTCTTGTCAAAGCAAACAGGTGCACCTACAACAAACCAACAAAAAAACTGGCCTGGCAGATGTGTGAAATCCAGATGTTTCACACACTAATATTTCCTTCAAACTGTCCTGCTTCTTTCCTTTGCTGTGGCCCATAGGCAGTGTTTTTGCCCCAGGGAGGTTGTGTGTGTGTGTGTGTGTGTGTGTGTGTGTGTGTGTGTGTTTTGCTTAGCTTGTTTGTCCATCTCTGTGTTCCCCAACACACACACACATGCACAGCCCCTCTGTCCCCAGGCTCCGGCGTCTTGCTTTGCTAATTAGACCCTTTCCTTTAAAACACTTTTCCTGTAAGCGCTCCTATTTTCCCCTCGTCCCTCTGAGAGAAAGTGTTTTTATTTATGCCAGCATCTGCTTGTGGATGTTCCGTGCACGCCTGTGCACATCGGTGTATGTGGCTAAGCTGTTAAGTAATCCCAGATGAATCCCTGCTCTCCTCCATCAGAGTCTGTGTGTCTCTCAGACGGCCTCCTCCTCCTTCTTTGTAATTTTTTTCACTCTATTCTTTTTTTTACTACGCAAATGTAATCTGGAGTGTAAATCCTGTCTCTGCAAGCCTTGTTGACGGAATTAATACGTGTAAAAATCATAAGTTTCTCAGCTGTTGCGTTTGTGTGTGTGTGTGTGTGTGTGTGTGTGTGTGTGTGTGTGTGTGTGTGTGTGTGTGTGTGTGTGTGTGTGTGTGTGTGTGTGTGTGTGTGTGTGTGCTTATGTTTAATAGGTGTGAAATCAATAGGTCCTGGCATGGAATAGTTTCTACACGTTTATTTAAAACCAGCTCTTATTTCAGATATTGTTATGATTACTAATAATTTTATTTATTTATTGTAACAGTGAATGCTTTAGGAAGACTAATCCGATCCTAGATGGATGCAGATTTGCTCCTTATTCTTTTCGAAATGATCCATGAATTTATTTATGTTTTCCGTGGAGACACACAGACTGGTTTGGAGCCTAGATCCTGATTTAGGGTTGGGTTGACCTGCTGATGCCTATTTAAGCTGATTTGTCTCAACTCCCATAAACAATCTTTGTTATTTCTGAATTTCATCTCAATAACCTTCCTAATGGTCTCTAATCATGACATCACACCTGGGATGGCTTATAATTTTCCTCTACTGCTTTGGTTTTCTCCCTCTAAAGTCCCCCATGCTGCCTCTTTTTACACTTCTTATCTCAGGGTCAGGATGGCATTTTTACTGGCCAAAGATGAGTGTGTTTGTGTGTGTGTGTGTGTGTGTGTGTGTGTGTGTGTGTGTGTGTGTGTGTGTGTGTGTGTGTGTGTGTGTGTGTGTGTGTGTGCATCCGCTGTGGGCTCAAAGTATGTATTAATTGCGGCCATCCTCCAGAATACTACACTAGGCGTGGTGATGTCAGCAGTGATGTCATCCTGTCAGAGGTAATCAGAGCATGCCATTGGCTCAGATGGCTGACAGATGAGATGACACTGACCTCTGTGAGCCGAGACAGGACAAAGCCACATTCCCCTGCAGCTCCTTCCTTCTCCCCTCCGAGGAGCGTCCTGCCCGTCGGAACCCTGCATCCGTTTTCTCCAGCTGTGCACGCTCTTGTTTCTCTGCCTCTCATCCTTCCTGCCCTCCTCTCTCTCCCCTCCCTGTCTCCTGCTCGCCTCACACGGGGTTTAATAATGTCAGATGTCAGTGAGTAGGTCTTGCAGCTCCAGTGCACAGCCTGGGAGCGATCCAGTAGAAACCTCTCCTCCTCTCCTCCTCTCCTCTCCTCGTCTCCTCCTCGAAGGGGAAATTGGATTCTGTCCACGTCCATAATGAGGAGATGTAGGAGAACAAATAGATAGCTCAATAAACACTTTGCCTCTTATTGCTTCTCCTCCCCTTTTCTCCTCACACCCACCCTTCTTCTCACTGCAGTCCTCCTCTTCCTGCTGCTCCTACCACCCACTGCTCTCCCTCCACCACGACCCCCCCCCACACACACACACAGTTTGCCCACGTCTGCGTAGCTCAGCAAAAATGTTGTGTGCTCAAAATGAGTGTGTTCTGTTTGTGTTTGTGTTTGTGTGTGTGTGTGTGTGTGTGTGTGTGTGTGTGTGTGCGTGCACGCGTGTGTGTGAATGAGAAATCCTCCTCATGAATATTCTGTTTTATCTGTTGGTGCTGTGACAATGACAGAGTTAATGACAGTGACAGATGTAGAGATCCCTCCCAGATACACACATACACACCCCTCACTGTGCCTTTGTGTGCGTGTGTGTGTGTGTGTTTGTCTGTGTGTGTAGGAGAAGGCACAGATACAAGTATACATCAAATAAACGACACAGCTAATGGCATAAATATCAGCGCTCTAACAGATAAATCCCTTCAGCGTCTTTTATAACACGCATCTAAACTGGAACAATTCATCTCCCTGTGCAGGTAAGGAAATGCTGACCTTTGACCTTCAGAGTCTGGCTACAGTGGCGGCAGCTCGGGCACTGGAGATGAGCGACAAGGCTGTGGATGTGGAGGCTGACCAGCGTTGTCCAATCAGGAAGAGACTCAACCTGCGGAGGAAGTGTAGCTGGATGCCTCGGCATGAGCCGGTGAGGCTTCAGCATATGTGGACGTGTTTCCTATTTTCTTGGATTAACCATGAAAAATCTCAAACTGGGCTCAGATTATTTGACTTTTATCACTTTTGATACAGGATATTCTCCTACTATCTTTGTCCAGGCAACAAATCCCTCAAGAGTTTGTCGTCATCATCATCATCATCATCTTTAGTCATGTAGCACTTTCCATGTGCCAGGACGCTAACCAAAGCGCTGAATATGCATAGAAAATTTAAAACATCACTGACCCATTCAGTGGGCAACAATAAAACAATGTAAATATAAACAAATAAAAGCAGGAGATAAAAGCAAAGGATATTGGTAAAAAAAAAAGGATAAAATAAGTGAAAAGCAACTGTATTCAATGTTCATTAAAACGTTACATGAAAAACAACAAATTTATAAACATTTAAAATAAAACAAGAATGTTTGAATAATATTTATTTATTATGTTTTACAATATTATTGATGTACATTGCATACAAATATTAAAACTTTTATTTTTCAAAATGTTAAATATAATTTAATAATAATTGTTTTAGTATATTGAACACTTCAGCTACAAGGTCTGTTACAGATAATGCATCACAGAAAGTTTGAAACCCCCGTAGGAAACCGTCAAGTGAGAACACAGAAGCATCTAACATTAAACTCTGAGCATGTGAAATAAAAAAGGTCATTGTGACTTTATAATGACTTTTAAGAATCATAAATAAAATACATTTAGCTTAGATTTAGAAACAACAACCCATCGGACAAAAGCAGCATTTTCATAAAACATATTAAATTGTTATTATTATTATAATTAATAATAATAATAATAATAATAATTATTATTATTATTATTATTATTATTATTATTATTATTATTAGTTATAATATTAAAAAATAATAAAAATGATAAGGTAATTATTATTATGATTAATAATAATAATAATAGTTTTATTTATTTATTTATTTATTTATTTATTTATTAATATTTATTTATTGTGCATGGTGAATCTACTGTGACCTCTTAAATGATAAATTAGAATATGATCCATAATGATGCCATCTTTTAAAATTATAGCTCTTTTTAGACATTTCTTTTAAAGATCAGGCCCATTTTTCCCATTGATCTACTTGTCAGCTTTGATTATGTTGGTGAGCAAACATCAGCTGTGTTAGGAATCAAACCTGCAGCTTTTGTTTTCATGAGCGTCATCAGCAACCTGGCCAAACTCTTGCTGCTTACGTATTCAGAGCCTTCTGAACTGAAGTTTGTGCACGGCATTTTAAATTCCTTTGCTGTGTGTGTGTGTGTGTGTGTGTGTGTGTGTGTGTGTGTGTGTGTGTGTGTGTGTGTGTGTTATTGTGCGTGTGTGTGTATGTGTGTGTTATTTGTGTGTGTGTGTGTGTTATTTGTGTGTGTGTGTGTGTGTGCGTGTGTCAGGTGTGCCCAGTGAAGGGCTCCATGGAGACGATGGGAGGGGAGGAGCTGGCCATGCGTGTCCAGCTGGCTGAGCTACAGCGCTGCTACAAAGAGAAACAGAGAGAGCTGGCCAAGCTACAGAGGAAACACGACCACCAGTGAGCAGAGACAACACACACACACACACACACACACACACACACACACACACACACACACACACACACACACACACACACACACACACACACACACACACTTCCTTTTGTCTAAGCTGAATTCCAGCATGTGCTTTCATCCTGATTTATCAGGACCTGCTGCCTGCTCAAGCTTCATGCAGCTTGACCCGTGGCCGGCGCAGAACCTTTGCTGATTTCCCCCACTATCCTGAACGCATCTGTAATCTCCTTTCTATGTTTTTTCATTCTTTTTGTCTTCCTCTCTGCAGGAAAGACGAGACGTCACGTAGCCCAGCTCGCCGGGGGCCCGGCCGCCCCCGCAAGCGCAGGTCCACCCCCGGCCCAGCTGCTGCAGAGAGCTCCAAAAGACTCAGGTCAGTGCTCTGATAGTGCGTCGGTATAATCAGCGTGATTGGCAAGCCCAGCTCATTCATCCTGATTTCTGTTTGTGTTTTTCTGAAAGGCACTGTTGATTTTCAAGAAGTTCTTCTTCAGCTGAATTGATTCAAATGCTCTGTAGCTGATGATTTGCTTGATTGGGCTCTGAAAGGAGCCCCGCACACACACACACACACACACACACACACACACACACACACACACACACACACACACACACACACACACACACACACACACACACACACACACACACACACACACACACACACACACACACTCACTGGGCTTATGTGATGGAAGCTGCCTGGGATTTTTAATGAGAGCGGGTAATGGAGCTGAGGGCTTCATTAATCACCATTAATCACTTTTAATCATATTTATCACTTGTATTGATTGTGTCCTGATTCCATGTGAGCCTCCAGCACATATTAATACAGCTGGACAGAGTCTTGATGTGCAGTTATTACGGTGATAAATGACTCAACACATCCCCCACCTACACCAACACACAAACACGCATTCGTTTAACACCTCATGCATGCAAACTTTTAGGGCAACCCCCCCCCCCCACACACACACACACACACACACCTTCAATGCTCCATCCATCCATCCACTTTCATCCGCTTATCCGTAGTCGGGTTGCGGGAGCAGTAGCCTAAGGCGAGAGCCCCAGACTTCCCTCTCCCCAGCCACTTGGGCCAGCTCCTCTGGGGGAATCCCAAGGCGTTCCCTGGCCAGGTGAGACACTTAGTCCCTCCACCGTGTCCTGGGTCTACCTTTAGGTCTCCTCCCGGTTGGACGTGCCCTGAAAATCTCACCAGGGAGGCGTCCAGGAGGCATCCTGACCAGATGCCCGAGCCACCTCAAATGGCTCCTCTCGATGTGGAGGAGCAGCCGGTCTACTCTGAGCCCCTCCTGAATGACCGAGCTTCTCACCCTATCTCAAAGGGAGAGCCCAGCCACTCTTTGGAGAAAACTCTTTTTGACCCCTTGTATCCGCAGTCTCGTTCTTTCGGTCACTATCCAAAGCTCACGACCATAGGTGAGGGTAGGAACGTAGATCGACCGGTAAATTGAGAGCTTCGCCTTCTGACTCAGCTCTCTCTTCACCACGACAGACCGATACAACGCCCGCATCACTGCAGATGCAGCACCAATCCGCCTATCGCTCCAGTTTTCCCTCACTTGTGAGCAAGACCCCGAGATACTTAAACTCCTCCACTTGTGGCAGGACCTCATCCCTGACCCGGAGAAGGCACTCTACCCTTTTCTGAATCAAGACCATGGTCTCAGATTTAGAGGAGCTGATTCTCATCTCAGCTGCTTCACACTCGGCTGCGAACCGCTCCAGCGAAAGCTGAAGATCACGTTCTGATGAAGCCAACAGGACCACACCATCAGCAAAAAGCAGAGACCTGATCCTCAGACCACCAAAACGGATGCCCTCCACACCTTGGCTGCACCTAGAAATCGTGTCCATAAAGGTTATGAACAGAATCGGTGACAAAGGGGAGCCTTGGCGGAGTCCAACTCTCACTGGGAACAAGCTCGACTTACTGCCAGCAATGCGGACCAAGCTCTGACACCGATCATACAGGGACCTAACAGCCCGTGTAGGAGGACCTGGTATCTCATACTCCCGGAGTACCCCCCACAGGGCCCCCCGAGGTACGCAGTCAAACACCTTCTCCAAATCCACAAAACACATGTAGGCTGGATGGGCAAATTCCCACGCACCCTCCAGGATCCCCCTAAGGGTATAGAGCTGGTCCAGTGTTCCACGGCCAGGACAAAAACCACATTGCTCCTCCTGAATCTGAGGTTCAATAATCTGACAGACCCTCCTCTCCATAACCATGGATAGACCTTACCAGGAAGGCTCAGGAGTGTAATCCCCCTGTAGTTGGAACACACCCTGCGGTCCCCCTTTTTAAATAAGGGGACCACCACCCCAGTCTGCCTGTCCAGTGGAACTGCCCCCGATGTCCATGCGATATTGCAGAGCCGCGTCAGCCAATAGAGCCCCACAACATCCAGAGCCTTAAGGAACTCCGGGCGGATCTCATCTACCCCTGGAGCCTTGCCACAGAGGAGCTTTTTAACCACCTCAGTGACCTCAGCACCAGAGATTTGAGAGGCCAACCCAAAGTCCCCAGACTCTGCTTCCTCACTGGAAGACATGTTGGTGGGATTAAGGAGGTCTTCGAAGTATTCTGCCCACCGATCCACAACGTCCTGAGTAGAGGTCAGCAACACACTATCCCCACTATGGATAGTGTAGGTAGTGCACTGTTCTCCCCCCCTGGGGTGAACCAGAATCTCCTCGAAGCCATACGGAAGTCTTGCTCCATGGTCTCACCGAACTCCTCCCATGCCTGGGTTTTTGCCTTGGCGACCACCCAAGCCCCGTTCCGATTGGACTGCCGGTACCCGTCAGCTGCCTCTGGAGTCCCACAGGCCAAAAAGACCTGATAGGACTCTTTCTTCAGCTTGACAGCCTCCCTAACCGCCGGTGTCCACCAGCGGGTTCGGGGGTTGCCGCCACGACAGGCACCGACGATCCTGCGGCCACAGCTCCGGTCGGCCGCCTCAACAATGGAGGCACGGAACAGGGTCCATTCAGACTCAAGTGTCCCCCGCTTCCCCCGGAACAATTTTGGAAGTTCTGTTGGAGGTGGGAATTGAAGCTCCTTCTGACAGGAGACTCTGCCAGACGATCCCAGCAGACCTTCGCGATACGTTTGGGCCTGCCTGGTCTGACCGGCATCCTCCCCCACAACTCACCACCGAGCCAACTCACCACCAGGTAGTGTTCAGTTGACAGATCCGCCCCTCTCTTCACCCGAGTGTCCAAGACATGCAGCTGCAGGTCAGATGAAACAACAACAAAGTCGATCATCGAGCTGCGGCCTAAGGTATCCTGGTGCCAAGAGCACATATGGACACCTGTATGTCTGAACATGGTGTTCATTATGGACAATCCATGACTGGCACAGAAGTCCAATGACAAAACACCACTCGAATTCAGAAGAAGAAGAAGAAGAGGAAGAAGAAGAAAATATCATTTCTATAGCGCCTCTCAAGATAAAAATCACGAGGCGCTTCACAAAAACAAAAAATGTGAAAATATAAAAAATAATTTAGAAAATGGTTAAAAATGTATTTAAAATGAGCAAAAAAATAGACGATTGTGATTTAAAAAATGTTAAGAAAGAGAGAGAGTGAATAGGAAAGAGGGAAATCAGTGGATCCTGAGGAAGGTGGAATAGGTGGGGAGAGCAGAATAAAGAGAGAGTGGTGAAGAGGATCATACAAAAGCCAGCTTGAACAAGTGAGTCTTCAGCTGCTTTTTAAAGGAGACCACTGAGTTAACTGATCTCAGTTTCAGGAGGAGAGAGTTCCAGAGTCTGGGGGCCACAGCAGCAAATGATCTGTCACCTTTGGTCTTTAGCCTGGTGCTGCACAACCAGTAGGCTTTGATCACTGGACCTCAGAGACCTGCTGGGGGTGTAGGGACTAAGAAGATCACCAATATAAGATGGTGCTTGTCCATGTAAGGCCCTATAGACCAGAACCAGGATCTTGAAATGAACCCTGAAGTTGACTGGCAGCCAATGAAGCTGGAAGAGAAGCGGGGTGATGTGGGTGTGTTTTGAGGACTTGGTCAGAAGCTGAGCACAGGCATTCTGAACCACCTGCAGATGGTTCAGGGAGGTTCTGCTCAGACACGTGAAAAGAGAGTTACAGTAGTCTAAGCGTGAGGAGATGAAGGTGTGGAGAACTGTCTCAAGTTCAGAGCGGGACAGAATGGGACTCAGCTTAGCAATGTTCCTGAGATGGAAGAAGGAAGAGCGAACAAGAGAACTGACATGAGAATCCAGGGTGAGAGCCGGGCCAAAGGTCAAGCCAAAATTCCTGACGGAAGGTTTGGTGTGAGAAGCAAGCTGACCAAGAGAGTCTCTGACTTTGGGAACCAGCTTGTCTGGGGCACAGATGAGGATCTCAGTCTTATCTTCATTCAGCTGTAGAAAGCTCCCAGCCATCCAGGTTTTGTTAAGAGTCTAAGCAGGTGTGTAACAGCTGCAGCTTAGACATCTCATGGGGCTTAAAGGAGATGTACAGTTGGAGGTCATCTGCGTAAAGATGGTAGGAGATTCCCTTGAAGGAGCTCAGGATGTGCTGAAGAGGAAGCAGATAGAGGAGGAAGAGCAGAGGCCCCAGCACAGAACCTTGTGGGACACCATGGGTAAGAAAGATGGTGGAGGACCTAAACTTGGAGATGGCCACAGAAAAGGAGCGCTCAGAGAGATAAGAGGAGAACCACTCCAGAGCAGATCCTGATAGGCCTACCCAGTCTCTGAGCCTCTCCAGTAGCAGGTGATGGTCAACAGTGTCAAAGGCTGCAGTCAGGTCCAGCAGGACCAGAACAGAACAGTCCCCTGCATCACTGTGAGCCAGAAGGTCATTAGAGACCCTAACAAGAGCTGTTTCAGTAGAATGAGCTCTACGAAAACCTGACTGGAAGCTATCATAGATGTTATGTTCATCAAGAGCAGCTGTGAGTTGTTTAGCCACAACCTTTTCCAAGATCTTGGAGATGAACGGAAGTTTAGAGATGGGTCTGAAGCTGCTATGGAGAGAGGCGTCAAGACTCGTTTTTTAAGAAGCGGGTGGATTACAGCGTTCTTAAAGTAAACAGGGACCTGACCAGAGACTAGACAAGCATTAATTATAGAGAGCACGCTGGGACAGATGGACAGAAAAGCACTTTTAAACAAAGATGAGGGTAAGATGTCGAGGGGGCATGCAAAGGTCTTCATAGAGTTAACTAGTTTGGTTAACTCAGGCAAAGAAACAGGAGCAAAGCTATCTAGGATGATGGGCCTGGTTGGAGTCGGCAGAGGCAGCGATAAGGCTGAAGGAGAGATGCTAGATCTAACCTTATTGACTTTGTCCACAGAGAAAGACAGAAAGTTCTCACAATCTGCAACAGAGTAGATGGAGGCTGTAGGAGAAGAAGGAGAGACAATGCTGCTGATGGTGTTAAACAGCACCTTGGGGTTCCCTTTGCTCTGGGACACCAGGTTGGAAAAATAGGAAACCCTAGCGTCTCTGACTGCAGAGTTAAAGGATGTCAGAAGATCCTTTAGGTGCAGCAGATGGACGTGTAGATGGGTTTTCTTCCACAAGCGCTCAGTTTTTCTACATTGGCGCTTTAGGCTGCGAAGGCTGTCATTAAACCAGGGAGTAGGGTTCACTGACTGGACAGATGTTGTCCAGAATGGAGAGGCAGTGCTTGTTAAACTGAGAAGTTAAGGAATCTGGGTCATTATCAGTAGAACAGGGTGGATCAAAAGCAGCAGAAAAATTGCTAGATGTGATCTCATTAAGAAAATGAGAACTAACCATACGGCGAGCAGGAGCTGGGGATGCAGAAACGGACAAGTTAAAGAAAATGCAATGGTGATCTGAAATATAAATGTCCTCAGGACAAACACTGTCAGCATTTAGACCCAGGGTAAAAACAAGGTCTAGAGTGTGCCCCCTGGTGTGTGTGTGTGTGTGGGGCCAGAAACATGCTGGGTAAACCTGAAGGAGTCCATAAGGCTGGAGAAATTCATGGCAAAGTGATCAGAGGGATCATCAATGTTGATGTTAGGATCAGGGGGGCTGTTCCTCCCAACCACACCTCTCCAGGTCTCACTGTTGTTGCCCACGTGAGCGTTAAAGTCCCCCAGCGGAACGAGGGAGTCACCGGAAGGAGCGCTCTCCAGCACCCCCTCCAAGGTCTCCAAAAAGGGTGGGTAGTCTGAACTGTAGTTTGGTGCATAAGCACAGACCACAGTCAGAACCCGTCCCCCCACACGTAGGTGGAGGGAGGCTACCCTCTCATTAACTGGGTTAAACCCCAACGAACAGGCACCAAGATGGGGGGGCAACTAGTATGCCCACCCCTGCTCGGCACCTCTTAGTGGGAACAACTCCAGAGTGGTAGAAAGTCCAACCCCTCTCAAGGAAATTGGTTCCAGAGCCAGAGTCATGCATTGAGGTGAGTCCGACTATATCTAGTAGGAACCTCTCAACCTCACACACCAACTCACGCTCCTTCCCCACCAGAGAGGTGACATTCCATGTGCCAAGAACCAGCTTCTGTAGCCGAGGATCAGACCACCAAGGTCCCCGCCCTCACACACTGCACCTGACCCCTGTTGCCCCTCCCATGAGTGGTGAGCCCATGGGAAGGGGGATCCACGTTTCCTCTTTGGGCTTTGCCCGGCCGGGCCCCATGGGTGAAAGCCCGGCCACCAGGCACTCACCAACGTGCCCCACCTCCCGGCCAGGCTCCGCGGGGGGGGGGGGGGGGGGGGGGACCCACGTCCGGGCGAGGGAACACGTTTTCTCACAATGACCCAGCTCTGTTAGTACGTTCACCCCTCACCTTGACAAGATGATCAAATAAACTCCAGGTTTGTCATGGCTACCATGATTAGAGGGCTCTAATGAGAATGACAATGAAAGACTTAAGTTGGAACACATAGATTCTGTGACACACACACACACGACTTGTTTAATTAATTTAATGAGCAACAGTACTAACAAGCGTTGCATCGTTTTTTTTAAGCTTTCATATTGAAGGATGAAAGTCAGTAAGAACAAGTGATGGACGGACAGAAGCAGGTATCTAGACTTAATGCACACACAAGCAGTGGGTGAACAATACTAGTTTATCACCTAAAGCAACTAGATTAGATATAAAAGTTGAAGAATTGTATGTTAAATATCTGAGTAATCTGAAACACACATCCAGATGAGGTGGGAGATCTTCTCTTAACAAAAATACTTTTACTGCATCCATGAGAGATCTAGTCTTTGGTCACCTATAAAGGGATTGTTGGGCTAGCAGTAGCATAGGTGAAGACAGGATTGTTGTTTCTCACTCCTCTACTTTAGTTTGACTTTAGACTGAGTGGCTAGTTGCCTAAAAGTGAAGGTTTCCTAAACAGTATTAGAGTTTGAATAGAAAAGTGCAGGAGTAGAGTTCAAAGGTTTATTTTCCTGACTCAGAGCTTACAGCAATCATCCATCTGTATTTAGTGTATCCTGGCCTCTGTGCTGGCTCCAGATCCATGGAAGGATCTTGGTCTTCAGGTCTGCAGGGACGGCTCCTGCGAACATCTCAGTGTTGCTTTCAAAACATCCTTTAGAGATTGTTTAAATCAGCTGATCGCGGTCTCGAGGTGGTCTGGAGGACAGAGATGGAAGACCAGGGGAGACCCAACTCTCTTCTTATTTTGATCTTATAAACTTGTTTAAGTCCTAACTTTTATCTTTAATGTTGTTTTAGCTTGGCTGTGTTCAGCACAACAAAGCTCGGTTAGTAGCATGAAAGTGTTTAATAAATAAATGAAGAAAACGAAATATAGAAGAACTTTATTGGCTGTTTAATAAAATGTTGGAGCTTTAAGTTTTTTTTTTTAGTTAAATCCTAAACCTACTCTGGACTCAGCCTCCCCGATTCTCCAAACTGACGCTGTTCTGACCTCTTTATTGTGGATTTATCAGGATGATGCAAAAGCACGTGTTACAGTTAGGTAACCTGAGCATGCACGTTTTGGTTCTGTGGGTGGAGAACCTGGAGAACATCCACACATGCATGAGCAGAACATTTGAACTTGCAACCTTCTTTCTGAGTCAACAGTGTAACCAGCTGCACCACCAAGCTGTTGATTAAAAGAAATTCCTTTAAGAGCTCAAACATCCAACTGGTTCGTTTCAGTAGACTGCATGAGGCCTGACTTGCAGCTTGGTGCTTTATTGGATTTCTCCCGAGTCTGTAAAGTGTTAACATAACCCAGAAGGTTTCGCCCCAACTTTACCACAGCTAGAGGGGTCCGTCCTGTCGCCCCCCCCCCCCCCCCCCCCCAGCAGAGTCGCTGAGAGCCAGTGCCTCCCTCTGTGGGAATATAGGATTCACCTGCCTCAGACACCAGCTGCTAACTGTGTGTGTGTGTGTGCGTGCGTGCGTGCATGTTGTGTGTGTGTGTGTGTGCGTGCATGCGTGTGTGTGTGTGTGTGTGTGTGTGTGTGTGTGTGTGTGTATGTGTGTGTGTGTGTGTGTGTGTGTGGCAGTGAAGGAAGGACAGAGTAAAAAGAGAGGGAGGGAGGAGTAGTGTTCGATAGAGGTTAGTGTTTATTGATTGAGCCCTGAAGCTCCGGTCAACGGACAGACTCCCCCGAGACTGCTTCATCTTTCTCTCTCAGTCTCCCTCCCCCTCTCCCACACAAAACACTCGCCTCCCCCCGCCGGTGTCTCCGTCCCCTGTCGTCTTCTTCATGCCAGATAATTCTTGCCCTTTTACGCGATGAGTCAGCAGGGTTTCAGATTCGCACGGCCGCTGAATATTTCTGCGTTTGCCGTCAAACTGAGCGTAGAGTCTTAAAAACCATCCTCTTACTTCATCAAAGGAACAAGACAGTGAGAAGGAGTGGGAGGATGGTGAGACAATGAATGTACCAACCAGAGATGGAAGTGAAACTAGAAGGAGAGGAGCAGAGAGGATCTGCTGCAGCAAATTTCACCCTTGAGGGAGGAAAGGCGTGTGATTTTATGTATGATAAAAGTCTCATATTTTAATATTGTTGTATGTTTTTGTTCTGCAGGACTGGACTGAATTTATTGGATAAGAGGAACAGAAATGCATTGTCCAACCACAACTTCAGCAGCCTGACCGTAGCACAGGTCGGCCATTTTTCTGACCCTGACTTCCTATTTTTTGTCCTCATAATTTCCACAAATAACCCAGTTAATGATGAGTCATTTGTTCACAGATGAAAGCTCGCTGTAAGCACAGAAGTCGGCCCGGTGTCCTGAGCTCCAGGCTGGCCAAGCGGGTGACCCAGCTGAAGCAGAAGGCTGCAGCCCAGCGTGGAGCAGCATCAGCAGGCGTGATGCACAGCAGTGAGGAAGACCCCTCCAAAAGCCACTGCAGACAAGAAGGAAAAAGTAGGAGAAGCATCTTCATGCACAGGCATGATAAAAATACGATGTATACAAACATAAACATGGTCTGGTCTTTACCAGGTTCTAAAAGTGTTCCGGTTTAAATCCAGTTTTACAAAACACACACAGCAGCTTATAAGAAACTGCTTCATGTGAAAATCAGAGTCCACCCTGCTGCATTCATGAGAGTCAGACAGCTTCCATGATCAGTGTGATGTTTACCTACAATGCACAGCATCATGTTGGGAGAATGAACCAGCTGTCGGCACGGTGGTGGAGGGTTACACACATCAGATCCACAACAGCATGGCTGACAAAAAGAAAGATCTGTCAAAGTCCCTTTACCTGTTTGAAATCCTTTGAGGGCATCTCGGGAGAGCTTTTTATTAACAAACCTCTATGAACTGAAGCAATGCTGTCCAGGAGACTGGGACACGTGTAAAATGACTTTTTATATCCGCTGACATTTGTTATGCAATGTGTAGCAGCTCTATTCTCGCTGTTAATCCATCAGACCTGCAGCAGGACCAGGCAGACGCTCAGATCATGAAGAGGAAGAGAGGTCGGAAGCCCAAAATGGTGATCAACTCCAACAGAAGCCATCAGAAGGACAGCTGCACATCTGACAAACATGAAGCAAGGGAAGAGAGGCGTTGCAGCGAGACATCAGAGCATGGTGAGTTACTGCTGGGGACGCACAGAAGGTTCTTGCTATGTGGTCTGGGGCATCTCACTGCCAGTTATCTAAATTTAACAGAAACCAAAACCTGACAAAAGAAAATAGGCTCAGAACAAAACACAAACAACGTGTGATATCAGAAGCAAGGTAGAATGAGCAGTCAGTCACTCGGATCTACTTGTGTTCATTTGCTTGATGGGTAGACCATTCAGTGCGAGATTTTGCACCGAAGGTGCAACGGTGTGTGCTTGCGAGTGCACGGGAAACATCTGAGAGTGAGATGTCTGCCGTCACCGGGGGCCTCCTCTGACTTCCCGGCTCGTCTGTCACAGCGTTAAAACCGTTAACGACTTACCAGGCATGCAGCGCTGACGCCCCTGTGCCCTCGTAGGCCCACGGTAATGTGAGCCTGTTCTAGCCCTGTCCAGAATGTCACTCTCCGATCCTCTTCCTTGGCGCGTCCTCGTGAAAATGCCCTCAGCTGAGGCTTTGAGTTGATGAAACTATTAAATACTTCCAGGCGTGTACCTTTTCAAAGGAGTTATGAAACCGCCAGAACTCCAGGAAACCGTTACAATATGATCTACCCTGTGATCATGGTGACATGCATAGGTATGGCTGAAATATGTGTGCGTGTGTGTGTGTGTGTGCGTGCGTGCACACGTGTGTGTGTGTGTGTGTGTGTGTGCATGTGTGCGTGCGTGTGTGTGTGTGTGTGTGTGTGTGTGTGTGTTTGAGGCAAGTGTTGACGAGAACGCAATGTAAGTGACAAGAAGTGTTGACACCTGACATGACCCCAAAAGTCAGCAACACACAGCTGCCAATAACAGTCCTGTATGTGGTGGTGGGTTGGGGGGAGGGGGGGGGGGTGGTGGTGGTGGTGGTGGGGGGGGGGGGGTGGCATTCGCCTCTACACTTTGGTAACAACAACATGTGGCCAAGAAATGATCCTCTTGAGGTTTTTGTGATTCTGCCATTTTAGCCACTGCCTTGTGAGTCGGTACATCGAAGGGCTCTTGAAAGCTTGCTGTCGATTCGTATCATCAAGTGAGCCACTGGCTGTTAACGCTGCTTACATGTAAATCACTTGAAGTAATCTGACTGATCACATTGATGCTGGTGTTTCACAGAGGAAGAGGAGGTTGGCAGCTACGACAGCGAAGACGGAGCAGGTGACATCAAGATTAGCTCCAGAGAAGCTCCGGCAAGCTCTGCTGCAACAACGTCTTTTTCATCTCAGTCCTCCAAGCTGCAAGCAAACCTGAAAGTCAGGAGTAAGAGACCAGGACTTCCTGGTGAGATGTTTAATACAAGTCTTTAATATTACAAAGGTTTTATAAATAACTCCAGCTTTAGTGATCGTTTTTCTGTTGTTGCTTTACTCTAATTGAAAGTCTTGAAGGTTTTCAAGACCTTTACTAATCACCTTTTCTCTTTTATCTGCATAGTTGTTTTTCACTCCTTATAAAGTCTCCAATCATGTTCATGTGTATTTGTGTGCATCTGTTTTTGTCTTCATCTCCAGGCCTGGGAAGCTCGCCCTGCATCGAGCAAAGGGGAATGCCCAAGAGGTCAAACCTCTCCAACATGGAAAGGGGAAGACCAGACCACTTGGGGGCTAACAAAACTTTAATACCCAGCTGGGGAGTCTCACCAGTGGGCTGCAGCTTTGGTGACATCCCTGGAAACCACCGAGCTCTGACCGAGGCTAAAAATATTAACAAGGAGGATGAAAGAAAGGCCTCTGTAGGACAGGGATCACGTGGAAAGGTAGGATAAAGGTCAAGTCCTATTTCCTGTTGTGTTTTCCTATCTTTTTAATTCAAAGTTGCAAGGAATGGATAAAATGTTCCTCTGTGAAATGTAACACCTCCTTCGAGACACTGAAATGTATGAAAACGTGCTTGGAGAGTGCTCGGAGCTACTCATTTTGCTTGAGGAAATAAGAATTTCCAGTTCATGTGCCAGCAAGGACCTCTCTACAAAAACTGGAGCCTGAAGTCCAGCCTGGCCAACCATTTCCATGCTGTTTCTTGACAAGAACTGAGCAACATGAATGAAGATAGTCACGAGTCATCAGCGTATAGATGCACCGTGGTGTTTCTTATAGACCCTTGATGTGTCTCAGAGTCAGAAAGTGAGCGTGGTGCTCTGGTTCTTGTATTTTATCAGAAACATCTCGTTTTAGAACATTCATGATTACTGAACTTCATTAAGATGCTATCGTTATTTTGAACTCCTTTCATAAATTCGATGTCACTAAAACTTAAAGAGCAGGTTCACTGAGAAACCATTGTTTATTTATCATTTACATTTATAATCAGTCACTCTGAGTTTTTCATGCAGGCTGAACATGAAAATAGTCTGTTACACCTATTTCTTATTGGGTGATATTCTAGGATTTGAAATTTTTGACAGATCTACGTCACACTGTCACTTAACATTCATGGACTCACCCATCTTGACTCATGACGGGAAAGGCTGTTGTTGATTTAGCGTCCAGGAAACAGCAGAGAAAGTCTTGACTAGTAGAAGCTAACCATTAGCATTAGCAACTTCACCTCACAGCAGAACTCCTCCAGATTTGTGTTATTTGTAGAGATAAAACATCAGCGTCACAGAGCAAACAGAGTCAGTGGTAGAGTCACACAGCTGTTAGCCAATCAGAGGCAAGATGTCCAAACATCAGGAAATAAGACTCCAAAACCTGCCGTCTGAAGCTACTTCCCCCACGGCTCATTTCTACATCCTCGAACAGAAGCATCTGAGCTTTATGCTTACAAGGCATTCATTTCTACTAGAGACTACTGCAAATGTATTAAAAGTATGAGTGAACTTGGTCTTTAAAGAAAAGGACAAGAAATATGCTCCAACGATAACCAGACAATCTGGGAGTGTAAAACTCACCGCTCACAACATTAAGGCAAGAAACAACACTCACCACAACAACGGCTCGTTGCTACCAGCTATTAGAAGTCCTTGAGCGGTACTAACAGAGATTTCTCCCACCCTGTGAGGGTGGCGAAACCAAACAAACAAAAGGAAAGGTTTATATTTACAGACGTTAGAATGGTGCAACATTCTAATGTCAGTGGGTGAAACTGTGCCTCACATAAATATTTCATTAATGACATTAGCAGCTCTGCACCATTACCCTTTAAAACTTTTCATTTTTACTTCCTTCTACTCTCAAATGGAGCACAGACGGATGTGAAAGGAAGATATTGTGCCTGAAGGACATTTAACAACCTTTTAGAGTTGACATCATGTCTACTAAAAGTGTTTGTTTAGAGTTAAGTATAAATTTATGGCAGAAAGAATCTAAAACTCAAACATGAGACACAACTGAAGTTTTATGGAAAAGTTAAATAATTAGCGGCACCATAAATTACTGCAGGCAAAGGGTTGCAAGGACAGTAAATATGTAGCATTACTTTTGAAACAAGATAATGAGCAAACAGACGTGTGTGTGTGTGTGTGTGTGTGTGTGTGTGTGTGTGTGTGTGTGTGTGTGTGTGTGTGTGTGTGTGTGTGTGTGTGCGCTATAAAGTCAACAGTAGCAGGGCTTAGGTTCACACACAGATGCAAGGAAAAGGAAGAAAAGGTGACTCATAAAAGGTTACTCCCTTCGGCTTTCTGTTAAATATCAATAAAAGCTGAGAGGGAAAAAGTCAAGCAGGAATTTAGAAAAGTGAAAAGTTTTAAAGTGAACCACACCCTGCTGGGAAGTTAGAGCAGATTAACAGTGACAGCTCCCTCCAATAACTTCTTCCCTCTCTTTATGGGGAGACGCTTACCTTCAGCTGTAAATTACTCA